ATCTTTAATAGGGACTTCCTGCTGCACGGCCTTCGAGTTTTCTTGATTGGCCTCCAAATGCGTGGTTCCTCTTTTGTCCAATATCCACCGCGGTCTACATTTCTTCCAGTCCGGCTTTCGTGTTCTCTGGGTTGGCCTTCGCCTTTTCTAGACAGGCCTCCGTCGCTTCTTTGCAGGCCGTCGTCACTTATCGCCAGGCTTCCACACTTTTCTTGGTTTATATCAATGCAGCAGGCAGTACAGCCTATCTGGATTTTCAGGTCAGCCACTATTTCTTCTTGGCCCACTCACATTTCCTCTAGGCTGGCGCCCGTCTTGGCTTCCAAAGTGAACGTCAAGTTTACTTTACGACTGGCAGTTTTCCGCCAATCAATTCTTCTTGGCGCCAAGCCGCTTCAGGATCACGATCAGAGATTTTGTTTTCAACTGAACCCTTGCGGCTATAGTCCTTATGTAACATCTTCTCTGACGAGAGGGTGGGTTTATCTCTTATGAACAGGCTGCTAACTAGCCCTACTTATAACGTCTCGATACAGACCGCGTAGAAAACACCTTCCTATGTCGAAGTGCAATTGTTATGTTCTGAGTATGTGACTGCTACTGAGCCATTGTCCAGCAACGGCTGTTGTAAAGCTGCTTATGTCGCATTCGTTGCCTAGCAAAGCGTCTACATGCTACAGTATTTTCAAAAGACAGAACTTCCATTAAATACGAATTGTGACAGCTTCTGTTGGTACGGTCACATCCATAAATTCTCCAACCAAATGTTTCCTGCAGGTACAGGTTAAGATATATGGAACGCTTTCTTTCTAAAAGCATGTTTGCCGGTACGCTCATGCTAGATTTGAGCTTCTAGGTAGAAACACAGAATGTACCGGCAGACTGTGTGATCCTCGACAAGTTTGCCGGTACGAGTACTAGCGTGTACTGGCTGGAGTAAGCGCTGTACGCAGGCTGTACAGCTTGAAGTTAGGAAGAATCATGTGACAAAAACGTCTTGGAGGAACACGCTTCCTCTGTCTTTAAATTAAAATTTGGACAGTTACTTTCTGCGAAAAGTTAGTAACCACTTACCAGGCTCCGTGATGTCATAACCGAGAAGACAACAATATAAATGAGAGTTCTCTTTGTTACAAACTCCATTTTGACCACATCCATCAAGATGACATTTATGACTAAATATTCATTAGATCTATTTATTGGCCCCCTGGTAAATCGAAGGATGGTTTACGGAGGATAAATGGGATTTCACTTACTGCCTTGTGTCCAGAAACATCAGTCTGCTATTGTGAAAGTGGAAGGACATAACTAATTGATGAATTTAAGGATCTGTCATGTGACAATTAAAAGTTGTCCCTGTGCTCAAGTAATTAAGCACTACCCCATGAAGGTGTAGGGGGGGGGAGTCGTAAAATAAATGATATGCAGTGTTACGGAATTTTGTTAAAAGAGTTGCAATTTTACATTTGATTAATCACAAACTCACCCACCCTCCTTTTCCCCAGTATCTTCAAAGGCTCAGTTGACCGGGGCAAAGCACAGTATTGTCGTCTAATAGAAGTACCCATTGTTGTTATTGTAACACAGTAGAAAGTAGGAAACGGGACAGCGCAGTCGGTATAACGACTAGCTACGGGCTGGGCGACCGAAGGGTCAGAGTTCGAGTACTGGTAGGGTCAAGAATTTTCTATTCTCCGCGTCGTCGAGGACGGCTCTGGGATCCAACCGCGATATAACAGTTGTCCAACCGTGTCAGCAGAAATGACTTGCTGAAAATGTACACCATTTTCTCACATAAATTTTGCCCGTAACAGAGTTAATTGTCACTTGGTTCCTTCGTCTGATGTATTTCTGACCACCTGCTTGCAAGACGCAACTTCATTCTCCTCTCGAAACCTGTCCCTGAGGCTGATAATGAATTATTAATAATTTATTTTCAAGAATCATGTGTAAATCTTAAAACTATCAGAATACATACATATTGGGCTCTAGTTTTAGGTCTATTTGGAAGGCTCTTTCTTGGAACTAGTAAATATATTGGATTTGAGATTATAAGAGCTGTGTCTGTGGCTCTGGAGCTATATAGTTCGGTGGAAGTTCAGCGACGTTTCGGAGGAACGCACTACGTCCCATTTCACGGTCGAAGTGTAGATCAAAAACGTAACCAGCCAGAAGCAAGCAGTAAGCAGAGCTTAGCTTGGCTGACTCTTTTTGACGTGAAGATAGAACTAATGATTTCATCCGAGACATCGTTAAACTTCTACCAGTCTACACGGCGTCACATCCCAGAAGATTAGTACTGTACATACTACATATTTTTCTTTCGCTTTGTTGTCCAGGCGACATCCTTAATTAAGAATGTTAACATTTAGAAACCAGTGCGCTCTACCAATCGGTCGTTACGTAACTTTAACGAGGGCGTTACGGATCATCAATAAAAAAACTTCCACAAAATGTTTATGGCATAATAAGGAATGTTTTATCATATAATACAGGCATATTTAGAATAAAATATTGGTGATTAAGGAAGACCAAGGTTGTGTTAATAACCGATTTTTTAATCAGTTTAACAGTACGTGGGGTTAGACGTTTGCGTGAGCACAGGGTGCAAAAATGCACCCATCAGTTTCGAAATGTCTGTCAGTTCTCATATAACAACTCGGGAATTGTTCAAAAGTTTTTCATGAAGTCTGAGACAGAGAAGTTCTGCTAAACACGCCTGACATTTTACAATTTTCGTTGAAGTCGGGCAATAATGGACATTACATAAAGATTTATAAACGTGTTACTGCTCCTAACTAGCAAAATATTTATCGGCCCGAAAAAATGTTTCGAGAAAAAGTCGTTGAAAAATATCAAACCCAGGTTTTATGTACAATAAACTTAGATTTCTCCAAGTCTTTTGGAGTTCAGGGCAGTTAAGCAATGGGGAGAAAAGCGCTCCAGCTTTGTTACGCTGTTTGTACGCACACAGCGCGTCTTTCCGAAACTCTGTCCTAGGTATGCCTGTGTTCGGGATGTTACCAGGTTTCGGGTTTAATGAATAGCGAGTTGGAGAACAGTTGGGTTAAAAAGAATCTGCATTTATTTTGCTGTAGGTAAAGCCCCTAATGCCGGCCATGTAGCCGAGCGGTCTAAGGCATGCACCGTCTTCGCTCGCTTGGAAACCTGGATCGTGGGTTCGAATCCCACTCAGGGCATGGATGTTTAATTTGTGTGTGTGTGTTTTTCTGTGTTTGTGTACAGGTAGAGGCCTTGCGACGAGCTGATCACCCGCCCAAGGAGTCCTACCGAATGTGTAAGATCTAGTAAACCGAAGTGGAACGGAAAGTTTCATGGAGGTAGGCCTAGGCCCAAATTGGGGCTGTAGCGCCAATGAAAAAAAAAATCCCCTAATAGACCAATAAAATAATTAACCAAAACGAAATTAAAATGCAGCGTTTGATCGTTTGTAGCATTTGCTGATTACATTGGCCGCGCGGTCTAAGGCATGAACCGTCTTCGCCCTCCCTAACACTGGGATCTTGGGTTCGAATCCCACTCGAGGCATGGATGTCTGTGTGCATTTATTTTGTGTTTATGTTATCCTGTGTTTAGGCAGAGGCTTTGCGACGGGCTGATCCCCCGTCCAAGGAGTCCTACCGACTGTGTATAGACCAAGAAACTGAAAACGCGGCCAAGTCCTCAAGAGCTATAGTGCCACAGATAGATTTGATCATCCTTACAGTTCTGTCGACGACGGGAACTACGAGACGTGGAAGAGAGAATTTAACAACTTACAATTGTAATATATGTGTTATTTTTTTACTTGTTCCATGCCATCTAAGCCTACTTTTCACCGTTTTATTTACTGTCATTTATTTCTGTAACTATTTCGCCGTGACTCTCAGAGTCACGTCTTCTTAGGAGGAAGACACAACATGAATCAAGCGCGTACAATTCCAGAAAACGGCCCGAGAGCCGAGACCAGCCATATTTTAAACAAAACTCATGATTTCCCATATATCCTCTAGCTTATTCCGAGGTAACAATGGGAAACAAACACTAATTGCTCCTTCCTCCGAGTTCTTAGACGTGTTAACTCGTGGACACAGTGATTCAAACAGCTTCACATGACCGTCAAGTCCTGCTGACAACATGCGGGCAGTATCACATACGGCACGGCGTCCGAACCGTTCTGCCGTGACATAAATATAGATGTGAGAAATTGGGTTAAATATTTGACGTAATTCATGTCCTAACTCCATGAAGCAGAGTCCTCCTTCAGAAGCTGACAGTCAACCAGCCAATCAATATGTTCCTCACCTTTCACAAAACCTAAATGATCATTACCGTGTCCACAAGTGACGGCAGTTATTCTGTATCCTGAGGTAGCCGACTTCAATCACATCCTATTTCTTTAAGATCCTTTTAAATATTATCCTATTTGCTCCTAAATGGCATTTTCCTTCCGAAATATCTGATTAAATTTTTTAGTATTACTTAGACTCTCAATCATATTGTCTTCTGGTCAGGACTATATAGGGGGCGGGGGG